GTGTTAGCCGAAATTTAGTACTGGGAACACCCCGTCTGATACTCTTAAATAAATAATACTAAACATCAAAAGAAATGAATTTGGTATACAAATTGAACTTCATGGTATAAATTTTGATTTTAGTCAACATTTTTCTGAATCTGACGTTTTTGATATTCATCTTTCATGAAATAATATTTTCCATTCTAACAATGACTCATTTGAAATTTGAAATCTAAAACACCGTTCTTTATTATGACCACAATTTTGATTTATGGGAAAAAAAATTCTCCTAAAATCGGCAGTATCCCAATCTTCAAAAAATTGCTTTCTGGATATTTATTGCATGTATGAACCATTTAAATTTTTGTCTGTGCTCCAAAACCCCCCTTCTTCCCTCCCTCCCTCATATAAATTTGTGCATGGTATATCAATCTTTATTCATCATAAAACCCAGTCAACTAATGTAGTATAAACGGAGACACATTTAGCTCCTACTCTGAATCTGCGTCTTTGCTGTCATCAAACACCACAGTTTCCACTCTGATCATAAAACTAGATTGTTGTATGTTTACAGTTAATAAATGCATAAACGTAATTCCACTTGAAAGATTTATTCATATATTATGTCAGTTACCGATGATCTATTCCCTTGGGGTTAGTGTTACCGCACATTAAGTACTACCGGTATATTCCCTATGTGATCAAACCTTGCGATGTAATGAAGGGGAGAGGGAAGTGACTGCATTTCTCACTTTAAAAATCTTAAGTGAGAATTTCACTTTATTGTATTATGTACACACGAGTGTTTTCAAAGGCGGATAATTTGATTCCGGGGAGATTGGAATCGGAGCATAAACGGTAATTAAGAAATAAATGGTAACGACATGTAACTGAACATGAAACAAAACACATGATTCAATAACAACGGAGTTCATAGGTCACAGAATCTCGGAATGTATTAGCCGAATATGTCTTGGTCGTCTTATACCAATCGTGTTCAGCTTGACAAATTCAGAGCATGGATGTCCTTGTGTGGTATTCAACTTTATTATACTAGAACCAGAATCTATCAGTGTGAGAGATCAGTGAAAAATATTCAAACTTTTTACACTTTATAATTTATTCTTCTAAATGGTTATTAATTCACAGACGTTGATATTATTGGCAGTATCTCGGTGGAACCATAATCGTCACGGATTTATAGGAAATAAATAACACTCCATTGGAACAAATTTAATTACAGCGAGTCACCGTCTGGGTTTTACACAACTGGCGACAAAAGATTGATTATTACACAGTGATGTAATTTATAATACTTTTCACGCGATAACTCATTGTGTTTTGGGCAGTGTCTTGTTAACCCTATACAATTCAGTGCAGGTTTCAGTGTAATATTTTATAATGTCAACTTTAATTTTGTACCAGACAGTTATAATTTGCATAATTTGCAATTACTGCCAGATCTAGACCTAAATTTAAGAGAGACTGTGGATATATTATATTTTGAGATAATAGATGTCGGTAAAGGGTTTGATTACTCCATCATTTGGAGATAGGATTGTTTGTTCTTTTTAAATGAGAAATACCAAAGCATCGGTGAATAATCTCCCAGAGACACTACATGTATGTCAGCTATACATGCTCATCTGTATACTTTTTGTTATGAGTGTACAATGATTTAATCCCTCAACTGTAAAATGATGTATTAGAGAATATATCGGTCACACACAACTTTCTGTTGTGGGGGAATGTAACACAGATTTTTTGAAAGCCTGTCAATCACTTAGACTGCTTCTTTTATTTTTGAATTTTATCTGATGTTTTCACCTCATGTTATAAGTAAAAATTTTGTATATTTAGATTTCAATTTAATAATAACAATTGTTTCTCTTCAATACAATTGTTAACAACATTGTGCTGGAACCCTTGCCATATACTGGTGTGTTGGTACCCTTGCCATATACTGGTATGCTGGCACCCTTGCCATATACTGGTGTGTTGGTACCCTTGCCATATAATTGTGTGCTGGCACCCTTGCAATTAACTGGTGTGTTGGTACCCTTGTCATACACTGGTGTGCTGGTACCCTTGCCATATAATGGAATGCTGGCACCCTTGCCATATAATGGTATGCTGGCACCCTTGCAATATACTGGTGTGTTGGTACCCTTGTCATATACTGGTGTGCTGGCACCCTTGCCATATACTACTGGTGTGCTGGCACCCTTGCCATATACTGGTGTGCTGGCACCCTTGACATATAATGGTGTGCTGGCACCATTGCCATATAATAGTTTTCTGGTACTCTTGCCACATACTGGTGTGCTGGCACCCTTGCTATATACTGGTGTGCTGGGATGCTTGTCACACACTGGTGTGCTGGCACCCTTGCCATACACTGGTGTGCTGGCACACATTGGTGTGCTGGCAGGCTTGCCATACACTGGTGTGCTGGCACCCTTGCCATACACTGGTGTGCTGGCACCCTTGCCATACACTGGTGTGCTGGCATGCTTGTCACACACTGGTATGCTGGCACGCTTACCACACACTGGTGTGCTGTCACGCTTGCCACACACTGGTGTGCTGGCAGGCTTGCCACATACTGGTGTGCTGGCAGGCTTACCATACACTGGTGTGCTGGCACCCTTGCCATATACTGGTGTGCTGGCACCCTTGCCATGTACTGGTGTGCTAGCACGCATGCCGTACACTGGTGTGCTGGCTCTCTTGCCACACGCTGGTGTGCTGGCACCCTTGCCACACGCTGGTGTGCTGGGATGCTTGTCATACACTGGTGTGCTGGCACGCTTGCCACACACTGGTGTGCTGGCACACTTGCCATAAACTGGTGTGCTGGCATCCTTGCCATACACTGTTGTGCTGGCACCCTTGCCATATACTGGTGTGCTGGCTCGCATTCCATACACTGTGTGCTGGCACACTTGCCATACACTGGTGTGCTGGCATGCTTGTCACACACTGGTGTTCTGGCACCCTTGCCATATACTGGTGTGCTGGCTCACATTCCATACACTGTGCTGGCATGCTTGCCATACACTGGTGTGCTGGCACCCTTGCCATATACTGGTGTGGTGGCTCGCTTGCCATACACTGGTGTGCTGGCACCCTTGACATACACTTGTGTGCTGGCACCCTTGACATACACTGTGTGCTGGCACCTTTGACATACACTGTGTGCTGGCACCCTTACCATATACTGGTGTGCTGGCTCGTATTCCATACACTGTGCTGGCAGGCTTGCCACATACTGGTGTGCTGGTAGGCTTACCATACACTGGTGTGCTGGCACCCTTGCCATATACTGGTGTGCTGGCACCCTTGCCATGTACTGGTGTGCTGGCACCCTTGCCATGTACTGGTGTGCTGGCACGCATGCCGTACACTGGTGTGCTGGCTCTCTTGACACATGCTGGTGTGCTGGCACCCTTGCCACACGCTGGTGTGCTGGGATGCTTGCCATACACTGGTGTGCTGGCACCCTTGCCATATACTGGTGTGCTGGCTCGCTTGCCATACACTGGTGTGCTGGCACCCTTGACATACACTGGTGTGCTGGCACCCTTGACATACACTGGTGTGCTGGCACCCTTGACATACACTGGTGTGCTGGCACCCTTGACATACACTGGTGTGCTGGCACCCTTGACATACACTGTGTGCTGGCACCCTTGACATACACTGTGTGCTGGCACGCTTGACATACACTGGTGTGCTGGCACCCTTGACATACACTGGTGTGCTGGCACCCTTGACATACACTGGTGTGCTGGCACCCTTGACATACACTGGTGTGCTGGCACCCTTGACATACACTGGTGTGCTGGCACCCTTGACATACACTGTGTGCTGGCACCCTTGACATACACTGGTGTGCTGGCACCCTTGCCACATACTGGTGTGCTGGCACGCATTCCACATACTGG